GGCCCCGCGACGCCACCTTCCCCTGGGACAGCCTCCAGCTCCTCCAGGCCATGGCTCCCAGCCCGCCGCAGCCCTGCCACCACCACCACGCGCCCTTCCCCTTCCCCGACACCCTCCTCCACACCCCCCACCCGCAACAAGCCGCCGCCACCGCACGACGCATCCTCCAGCACCTCTTCGCCACCCTCAACGCCTCCACCACCCCCCAGCACTGGGACGCCCACGCGCGCCACCACCTCCTCAACAACCTCCACCACTACATCCACCACCTCGACCAATGCCTCACGGACAACGGCACGCTCTTCGCCAGCCAAGGGCCCCGCCACCTGCTGCTCCGCATCAACAAATACTTCGCCGACATCCACCGCTTCCTCCGCGCCCACAACCACAGCGCCTGCGCCTGGGACCACGTCCGCCTCGAGGCTCGCGCCTGCTTCCAACGTGTGGACATGCTCATACGGAGAATGAAGAGCCGAGCTGCTCTTACCCTCCACCAAGCCCACCGGCGCCGAACACCCATCCCCAGCCAACGCCGGTGGCCAGAGATCAAGCAAAGGCAGCAGCACCCTGGGCTGGGATTGCTCAGCGCTGCTCCCACCTCTTCCAGCCAGCAGCCCACATCGATGGGGAAATGAGCATGACCGCGGGGAGGCTGAGGCCAGGCTGCGACACAGCCTGCGCACCCAACACCACGGCCACACCTCTGCTGGAAAGGAAGGGGGATGAAATTGATGTGCTGCACGCTCAGGGACAGCCGCCAGGCAATGGGGAGAGGAGTGGCATTTATGACTCATGGCGCTACCTAGCTTGTTCAGACTGCGACCTCTGCTGACAGAGGGGAAGGTCCCCATGGACACTGTGGGACTCACTCGAACGACCACTTATCACAGAACTCTATTTATTTATTTATTTATTTTGCCAGACATTAATTATGATATTTCTATATTTATTTATTTATTTGTCAACTTTTTGGAAATAAAGATTTTTTGCAAAAACAAAAATGAAGAAAAGAGGTGGTCATCATGCATATACCTGACAGGCAAAGACAGAGTCTCTGCAGGCAGGCAGGGATGAGCACCCATCCCCACAGCCGATGCCCCCCCACCGATGCCTCCCGTCCCGGTCGAAGGCTCTGGACAGCGGGCCACTCTCAGGGACCCACCATGGTCCGTCAAGCCCATAGGCATCTCCCAGTGATGCCAGGCCACTGGAGCACGCACTTGCCCAGATAATGCGATGCCTGCCCTGCACGCTTCTCTCCCACCACCCATCCTCTCCCTTCCCAACCCTCTTCCACTGCCAAAGCCACCTCCAAACCACCACCCCATCACCAAACAACCATTCAGCAATGCCACAGCACTGCTTGGGACCAAGCAGGGTGGCATGGACAAGGTGCACCTCAAAGAGGCAAGGAGGGACCTACCAAGGCCTGCAAAGATTTGGACAAGGAACAGCACCCCAGTTCCACCAACCCCACCCAAGAAACACCAAAAAGACAAAAAA